AGTGTTGGGGAATTGGGGAAGGGGAACAGCCAAGTTGTTGTCCTTCAATCTTAGTTGTGGAGGGTGCAGCTAGCTCAGCTCCAAGTCCAGTTGCTATCCTACTGCCTGTTGGCAGCTTGCAGCTGCTTAGCTCAAGGTGCCGTGGTCAATCTTAGTTGTGGGTGGGCATAGCCCACCATCCCATGAAGGAGTCGAACCAGCAACCTTGTTGTTATAAGCATGCACTCTCACCAGCTGAGCCATCCTGCCACCTGTTGGCAACTCAGCGGCAGCTCAGCTTGGGTGCAGCTCACAGGCCCGTGTGGAAATCGAACCGGCGACACACGACCCAGTTGCTCAAGAGCTCATGCTCTTAACCAACTGAGGCACTCGGCTGGCTCGAAACACTGTTGATCTTTTTCATACATTGATTTTTGCTCTTTTTTCCACTTTCCCCCCACTCTGCTCTCAAACTCATCCTCATTTTTTCCCCCCTTTTCTTCTTGGTTCAGAAGTTGGAGGGACTAGTCAAGCTCCGGACTGTTCGGGAAGCGCCGACTGAATGTGCCTGCCCCCCAGGTAAGTGGACATTCCATCCTTGCTGGCTCCTGACTTCTGTAGGCCTGGCTTCTCTCTTCTGTCTGCTCAGAACTGCTGAGGACATGGTCAAGAGCATCGCCTTGGGTTCCAGGCTATCTGTTGTACCGTGCGACCCATCCTGGGCCTTTCTTCCTATGTCTTCCCTGGCAAGCGTGTCACTAGTCAAAGATCTCAGCAAGATTAACTGCTTTGGTTTGATGAGGATAGTGGTATTGGTGGGGGAGATAAGAAAGCATAGAGGTGACTTATAGTAAAGGCTTAGATTCCAGGAAAGTACCAGCCATCCCATTCTAAAGATGGAGAAACAAGCACAAATCATCCACATGTTATTAACATTGTGACCTGAGACATTGGAGAGGGGGGTGTTGATAAATAATCTGGGCAAATAGCTTTTTTTGTTTTCATTTCTTTTGGTGGAGGTAGAGGAAGAGAGCAGGAAGCATGGTCTGAATTATTCAAATAATTATGTGTCTCTTGGTTTTGTGGCATAGACCAGGATGTCTGTGAGTAGAGCCAGGATTTGTTGATTCCTAACCCATGTGGCTCAAATTCTGATTCATATCAGGCCTTCCGGTTGTCCTCATGGGAGCTTTGCACAGATGATGATTGAGAATTTAGGTGTGTAGTCTCAGCCTCTGTATTTCCAGGGTTAGCATTCACCTCTCATAGGATGGTGTGTAAAGCAGTGAATGAGTGGAATGTCGTAACACTTCCCAGACTTCTCACCATGCTGGACAAGGTGAGAGAGAGAACACGGATCACAGAAGCTCTGCCCAGTGGCCTATGTCCTTACTGTCATGCCTTCCGTTAGCCAAGTTGTCTAGTTGTCTGGCATTTCCCAATGCACTTCACTGGTCCAGAAACCAAGCTCACTGATAATTAACATCTCAAGGCTGGGAGATGTCCTGGATGTCTGCAAAGGTGGACCTCGTGGTGTGAAAATTCAGTGTCTAGGGGCCCAGCGGGAGAGGATTTGATGATCAAGTGTGAGCTAGCTTTGAACAGTAGGACCTCCAAGGTTTTAATAGGAGGAAAAAGGACATGACATGTAATGACATCGTTGCTTGATCAGGAAGTCAGAAGTTGCAATTCAATGGGGAAAAAAATCCAGATCCATAAATGAATTTTGGGTGATCTGCAAAATGTATAAAATGGGAAAGGTTCCTCTTTTTTCCCTCTTTCTTCCTGAGTGTTGTATGGATGCAAATTCATGTGAGTTATATGGATACATGCTCTTTAAACTGAGAGTTCCAGCACATTTATAAGATATGCAATCAGTTCTGGGGATGGCAGCTGGAGCTGTGAAAGTTTGAACTAGCACAGGCTCAAATAAAAACTGCTGGACTGAGGTTTTGTTTTAGCTCTTTATCTATCTTTGTAGACATGACCTGGATGGTGAAGTGAATCGGGTTTCTTGCTGTGGATTGCTGACTGGGAGTTTGAAAATCCCCAATATAAATGACAGATGGACAGGAAGGAGGAGGCAGTGAGGGGGTATAAGCAGCTGAATAAATCTGAGCCAGGTCTAGATTTTGGTTTGCCACTTATTACTATAAGGGTCTTCATAAAAAAAATCATGACAGTATTGGAGTGGGCTCTGTAGGTTTTTTTGAGATCATGGAGAAAGTACAGGTCAAAGCCATGACTTAGAGGCAGTCCTGTGTTCCTTCTTCCTCTGAGGGGTCCCAAACCACAAAGCAAGGCTCCAAGAGGGTCTCAAGGAAGACTACGGAGACTGAAAGGCTGATCAAAACCCCCAGTCCCACTGACAAGAAAGCAGTGACCCCCCCATCCCCCCACGCTCTCTGAGAGGGGCACTGCTGGTCCTCAGCACTGTGCTGCTGCTGTCCCAGGGGCTTGTGGCAGCCATCAAGCCATCCTGGCAGGTGTGGTCAGTGTGGCCAGGTCCCAGGACACACCCATGCCCACGCCTGCTGCACTTCCCAGCTGAAGGACTCACTTGAGCCCTTTGGACTAGAGCCCTTCATTGATGCAAAACGCCGTAGGCTGGCACATTCTCCCCTGTCATAAAGAGGACAGAGGCCTTTTCTCCAACACCAGAAGCCTTAACTCACTCCTTCTCCTGGCTCTGATCTGCCCCGCAGACTTTTGGAGTCTGGACACACAGACCACACTCCATAGCTTGGGTCCCCATCTGATTCGAGATACCCGCAGATCTCCCTGGTCCAGCTCCTTCCCACGCCTGGGGGACAGTGTGATCTTTTGTCAAATCCTAGGATATAGCAGACAGATAAGCGAGGCCAGAGAAGGCGGCGGTTCTTCTGTGTGTGTTGCCCATTGTGAAGCTGGCGCTCAGGGGGAGCCATGAGGCTGAGAGGAGGGGCAGGCCGCCGCTCCTGCCAGAGTCAGTGGCTGGAGCACTGGCAGGGCTGGGCCCGGAAGTAGCCCTGTGACCTTGGATAAGTGAGGGGCCCTCGAGCCTTGCACTCCATCTATAAAATGGTGTAGTGGGTTGAGTTGTGTCCCCCCCCAAAAATATGTCCCAGTCCTAACACCTCCTTACTTGTAAATGTGGCCTTATTTGGAAATAGGGGTCTTTGTAGATATAATTAAGTTAGGGATTTTGAGATGAGATCATCCAGGATTTAGGGTAGGCCCTAAATCCAGTGACAGGTGTCCTTATAAGGGACAGGAGGCAGAGATCTGAGACACAGACACACAGAGGAGAAGCCATGGGAAGGTGGAGGCAGAGCTCAGACAAGCCCAGGACCACCGAGGATTGCTCACAGCCACCAGAAGCTGGAGGGGGCAGGGAAGGAACTCTCCCTCAGAGCCTCCAGAAGGAACCAGCCCTGCTGAAACATTGATTTTGGGCTTCTGGCCTCTAAAACTGGATAGGATAAATTTTGGTCATCTTAAACCCCTCATTTTGTGGTAATGTGTTGCAGCAGCCTTAGGAAACCAGAACAAATGGGAAAAATAATCAATCTGAGGACCTTATAAGGTTGCTGGGAGGATTGAAATGTGCGGGACAGAAGGCGCTTCCTGCCCAGTGTGGGTCAGGTGTGCAGGCTGCTACCTGGGCGCCCCCTGAGGCTGTTCCTTCTTACACCTGCCCCCAAAGAGTCTTCTCTTCCTTCCACAGAAACTTTCAGGCTTTAGACATGTGCGACTTACCGATGTCCCTTGGGTGTTCCAACACCCTCTTTTCTTATGTTATCTGTGTATTTAAACATTTAAAAATGTGTTTAAAGTTTTAAAATGTTTATTTTTGAGTAGAAAATATGATGTGATAAAAAATTCAAGCACTACCAAAGATTACATGTGCAAACAGTTCACCTTCACCCCCATTCTCCTGCTCCCCTTTCTAGGGGCTGTTACAGTTGGTTGATGTCCTTGAGCAGTGCTGGCCAATAGAACTTTCTGTGATGATGGAAATGCACCATCCAGCATGGCAGCCACGGCAAGCTGCAGGTGGCCTATGAAATGTGGCTAGAGCAACTGCCGAACTGAATTTTTACTTAATGTTAATTAGTATTCATTTAAATAACCATGTGTGGTTAGTGGCTGTGGTATCAGACAGTTTGATTTTTGATGTAGTTTATGTACGTTTCACCAGTAGCTCCCTTCCTGTTTTTATGCAAATGGTATTTTATGTTGTTGTCCCTGTGTTGATCTTTTTCAGTTTGCAGTTTCTCTTTGAGATGGTCTGAATCAGCCCGCATACCAGACAGCAGGTGCTGCCTCATTTGGGTTAAATGACAGAATCCTGTGGGGTTGTCGGGCTGCCCTGTGAGGGCCCTGACCTATTCCCTGCAAGGATACTCAGGTTGTTTCATGTCCAGGGTTCTTACGGACTGTACTCCAGGGAAGCTTCAGAGGGAAGGAGGCCTGCTGCCTTGCCCTGTCCTCTGTCTTCCTCAGCTTTGTCCTGGAGGCTGTCAGGAGCCAGGCATTGCTGCAGGGCCTGAGGGTGTTGGGCTGGAGGATAGGAGCCCTTAGTCTGTTGGGGAGGCTGCCCTCAGAGCAGCAATCCTGGAGCCTTATGGAAGGGCTCTGGCAAGCGGTGACGCCGAAGCCTGCTCGTGGGAGATGCTGGCACGACCCCGCCTCCACTGTGCTATGAGCAGTCGTGACACAGGAGGGTTAGGGATGGTACCTTGGAAGCTGAAAGCCCTGGATTTGAATTTTGATTCTGCCACTTGAACAGCTGCTGTGTAGTCCCATCCTGTATGTCCTGGAGATGTGGGCCACTCTGGGGTAAAATGTCCTTGCATTAACTAACTCTTGGTTAGAAGCATCAGAACACTAATGTTCTGATCATCCTACATCAGTAAAGCAAAAAAGGGGAACTTACTAGTTCATGTAACTGGGAATAGAAAGGTCAGAGGTGGGCCAGATTCAGGTGTGTTGGGCTCAGGGGCTCTCTCTTCATCTCTCAGCCCTTCTCTGTGTCATTTACAGACAGTCTCTTCCCCGGGGCTAGAAGGTAGCCACCAATAGCTCCATGGGTATAAGAACCCAGCAGACAGCAATCTCCTTTCTCAAAAGTCCCCAGAGTGGGGACGTGGTATGGGCTGAATTGTGGCCTCCCCTAAGTTCGGATGTCGAAGTCCTAATCTCTAGTATTTTACTTGAAGATAGGGCCTTTAAAGAGGTGATTGAGTCCCAATGAGGTCATTAAGGTGAGCTCTAATACAATATGACAGTGCCCTTATAAGAAGAGGAGATTAGGACACATAGACATAGAGGAAAGACCATGTGAGGACACAGGGAGAAGACAGCCTTCTGCAGGCCAAGGAGAGTGGCCTCAGGAGAAACCCACCCTGCTGACACCTTGATCTCAGACTTCCAGTCTCCAGAACTGTGAGACAATAGATTTCAGTTGTTTAAACCACTCACACTATGGTACTTTGTTATCGCAGCCCTAGAAGACTAATACAGGGAGCTATTGAATGGGTACAGTTTCTGTTTGAAAAGATGAAGCAATTCTGGAAATATGTAGTTGTGATGGTTGC